AACAAAAAACTGATTACAGCAGAGAATCCAAAAAAAAAAATGTCACAACATAGAATCAACTTGAAAGTTAAATATTTGTTTGTATGTATTTTCAACATACAAACAATGTAATGTGTGAGCCAACCATCCCATCCCATTCCACCCCATCCATCCACCCATTGGCACTAGTCATTTCATTGTCCACATGTGTGTATGTATGTATATTGTATGTGTGGCTGAAGGTGTACTTCTAAACCAATATTAACAGGTGAAGCCATGATAAGATAAGACCTATGACTCTTTTTTCCCCCTTTTTAAGTTTTCATTTTGATATTTTTGTATAAAACAATAAAGTCCCAAATGTAGGTATGTATTCAATTTTATGTACTTCATATTTTCTGTTAGCATTCTTTTGTCTTGTAAGTAATGAGGAAGAGGGGAGAGCGTTCTTATTGGAATTAGGTCGTAATGTTATTTTTTATTTCTTTGTAGAATTTCAAAAAAGGAAAATTAATTACACAAATGACCAATTTCAAAACATTACTCAACCATGAACTTATTAAAGAATTTAAGAAAAAAAGCACCGCATAGATTTTGATACCCAAAAATGATTCATATAATACTGTGTTATCAGGGTTTGTTGAGAAAATTACAAGATTTTTTTGAGAAATAATAGAGATAACATCATCTCTAATATTGGCAAAAAATATCAAAGTTTTTAGAAAATGTAGACATTTAGAGAACTATTTATGCAAAATTGTTAGTGGAAAGATAAAAGGTTACCAATAATTGGAACACCTATATAGAACATTTTTACCAGGAATTTAACTCTATACAGAGGAAAACCTTTTAAAGGAAAACTTTTTAAATTACCAAAAATAAGGGAGAACTTTTACATGATAGATATACCTAAATGTGGTAAATGGGCCAAATATTCCATTTTATGGTGTAGGGTATATAAATTAAGGATAGAATCTCCTGTCGAATGCGGCTTTTTATTGGTATTTAAGACAAAAAGTGGGGGTATGTAAAGTCATACTAAGCGGTATATGTAAATTGCTCATATAAACTTTTAGTACTCAAAGTGAACAATTTGTTCGTTACTTCTCGGACAAAATTGTCAAACTTTTCAGCAACACCAGTTCGATAACACTTTAATAATATTAACCCTTTATCGGAAAGAAGAATCGAAAATTGATTACTTTTTCAATCCGTTTTCCGAAGAGTAAACTTTTGTACAATGGCTCCATTCAATCCAATTTTTCCATCCATTCAATTTTTCTGAAAACTCTTTCATCCACTTTTCATAATTAAAATTGGCCACCACCAAATCTAAATCCCAAAAACCAACAGTGATCTCAATATCACATTTCAGGATTCCGCTGTATCCATTCACTCAATGACAAATTTAGTACCTTTTATTACTAAATTTACTTCCCTTTATCAAAATTACATATCAACAGTGGCTTTATCCGGCTTTATCCTAGGGCCCAGTCCCAAAAATTTACCATACTTTTCGTACAGTTTTAAACCACCTCCTTCTATCCATGCTTAGACATTGTGGCATTTTGCACTTTACTTTCGTTCATAATACGCGCTTCCAAAACCATCTCCTTCGCATGAACAACGAACCTAATACTAACTTTTCAGGTACCAACACAGACCTCAATATCAAATTTTCGGAATCCAATTTTATACCTATACCCAATTTAGTACTACTTACTATTTTTCGAACATTTAGAGCACACGTTTCCATAACCATCTTCTTCTCTCAACTAGAGACACCAACAGTGACATCTTCCAGCTCTATCCCTTCACCTAATGCCAAATTTACCAACATTTACTACTTTTCGTACAAATATTGGATGCATTTCCAAGGCACCGCCAAATCGCAAACACAAATCAGTAATCTAAATATCAAATTTCTGAATTTTATCTCTATTCCTTCATCCATTCTGACACCAATAACAAATTCCAGATTTCAAGCACAATCTATTCACTCAATACCAAATTATACCAAATATACACATTTTCAAAACCACCTCTTTATCACAAACCTACCACCAATAGGAACCCCAATACAAAATTCTAGCTAAACTATTTTAGATGTTCTCTTAACCTTAAAGATTGAATTTTCAAAAACCCTTTGGTGCATCTATCCTGCTCTCCAGCTCGTTCCGTTTGTGTAACACAAAGTGTTAAATTTTAGTACATTTTAGTACTTTTCGTACCCTTTTAATATGGGTTTCCAAATGGCCAGACTCATAATACGCCATGCACCAAGACTAGCCATCGTGCAAAATTTGAAAATTCTAACTTCAACCGCTTCGTCTGGACTTTGATTCTACGTTAGACCAAAATGCCACAATTTGACATCCTTGCACTAATTTCAAGATTTTAGCTCTAAAAATTCAAAATTTAAGATAAACAGTATTAACTTTGTCATTCCGTTTGTAACTCCTCGAAATACTCATGTCAGACACAACAAAGTATATATATTCTTGATCAGCGTAAAATTCTAAGTCGATTTAGCGATGTCCGCCTGTCTGTCCGTCTGTCTGTCTGTCTGTTGTAATCACGCTATCTTTCGAACGAATTGAGATACAAGGCTAAAATTTTGCACACACGTTTATTTTTACAGTAGGCAGGTTAAGTTCATAAATGGGCCATGTAGGTCCACGTTTTCATATAGCCCCCATATAACGGTACCTCCCGATATTCGGTATTTTGATGATTTTAGCGACATTATTCACCGGATTTGTTTCAAATTTGGTATTTGAAGTTCGAAATGGATACTACAGCCTAAGACAGAAAATTGTCTGTGCAGGTCCACGTCTTCGTATAGCCCCCATATAACGGTACCTCCCGATATTCGGTATTTCGATGATTTTAGCGACATTATTCACCGGAATAGTTTCAAATTTAGTATTTGAGGTTCGAAATAGATACTACAGCCTAAGACAGAAAATTGTCTGTGCAGGTCCACGTCTTCGTATAGCCCCATGTAACTGTACCTCCCGCTATTTGGTATTTTGATGATTTTAGCGACATTATTAATCGGAATTGTTCAAAATTTGGTATTTGAAGTTCGCAATGGATACTACAGCCTAAGACAGAAAATTGTCTGTTCAGGTCCACGTCTTCGTATAGACGATTTTATTTCCAAATTCGTTCCAAATGGTGGAGGGTATTCAAAGTTCGGCCCGGCCGAACATACTGCTTTTTAACTCGTTTTTTTTAAATTTTCCTACTCTCTACCACCGATTCCTTAACCCAACTTTCAAAATTCTATTTCCACTTTTAAAACATAGGAGGCCTTGGATGGTCTTTTGGAGGCCTTGGATGGTCTTTTGAAAGGAATATCTTGGAGAGACCTTTTTCAGGTGCATTGCCTCCAGTTTAGACGGTAGAAAATATTTGAAAGGCTTTATTAGAAGAACTTTAGGATTATCTTGGAAATAAAACGTTTTAAGTAGGCCACTTCAAAGACTTTCATGGATAGAATGCCTTTTGGAATTTACGAAAACTTTGGGAGATTTTCAATGGGAAAATATAAGTTATTTTATTGGTTGAACCACCTATGGCTAATATTTTAAACCTAATAAAATTTCGAAGATTTTTTACTGTTTTACAGATTATTACACTGTAAAAAATTGGATTTGTGCTCGTTTAAATGTGAAAATCCAAGAAATTCAGATTTTTTTCTACATTTTCCTTCATAAAATCAGTTTTCGAAGTGACCCAGAAAAACCAAGAGACCCCACAAAGTATATATATATATATATTCTTGATCAGAATAAAATTCTATGTCGATTTAGCGATGTCCGTCGATCTGTAGAAATCACTCTAGCTTCCGAACAAAATGAAGTAGGTTGATGAAATTTTACTCAAATGTATATTATGTCTGCAGGACTTTTGGTATTGAAAATGGGCCTTATAGGTCCACGTTTTGGTATAGCTCCCATATAACGGTATCTCCCGATATTGGGTATTTTAATGATTTTAGCGACATTATTCACAGAAATTGTTTCAAATTTGGTATTTTAAGTTCGTAATAGGTACTACAGCCTATAACAGAAAATTTTCTGTGCAGGTTCACGTCTTCGTATAGCCCTCATATAAGGGGACTTCCCGATTTTTGGCATTTTGATGATTTTAGCGACATTATTCACCGGATTTGGTGGAATTTGGTATTTCAAGTTCGTAATGAATAATGGAAAATTGTCTGTGCAGGTCCACGTCTTCGTATAGCCCCCACATAACGGTACCTCCAGATATTCGGTATTTTGATGATTTTAACTACATTATTCACTGATTTATTTAAGATTCGTATTTGAATATTGTAATGGCTTTTGACAGAAGTTACCTATGTAGGTCCATGTCGTCTTATTCACCCTAATATAACATTTAGGTATTTTTAAGATTTTAACGGATTTTATTGTTTTTGAGAACTGCCAAATTCGTTCCAAATGGTGGAGAGTATTCAAAGTTCGTCTCTGCCGAACTTACAGCTTTTTTACTTGTTTTTATTTTACGGACAACTTCATATATTCATCTGTGAGGCTTCTTACACGTATCAGACATTGGGGAAGCCTGGCAGAACGGTTTATACCTTTCAGACAGTCGTCTTCTATAAAAAAGGTTTATATATCTATTTTATTTTGAATTCTTTAAAATGCCTTGAAGAACTTGAAATGCGCTTAAATATCCAATAAAAAATTAAGGATCTTTGTAAAATATTTTCAAGCCGATGCAAGACCTTGTTCAAATTTAAAAATTAAATTAAATTACCCACGAAATATACTCCTCCTTGCAATCTCTCTTTGACTTCTATCAGGGACTCGGCCCTTTGGGAGCCCTAGCCCTGCTACTATGGGAAACGAAACCACAGTATTTCTTCTTCGAAATTAATCCCAAATTCAATCCGTCCCTCAATGACCATGATAGCAACATCAATATTTAAATCCGCAATAATTGATCACCCAAAATAAAAAAAAAAATATTTCAACATCAAAACTTACCCCAATTATAGCCATTATCGTTGACAATGTCATAACCCAATTCGCCCAAATAGAAGTCGGCCATTTGTAAAGCGCCAGAACGCTGCTGTGACATGTTGGCAACCAATGTTCCCGTTGTCGATGACACTTTCGGAGCTGTATGTTGGTGTTGTTGTTGTTGTTTTTGCTTGGGTTGTGGCGGTAAAATTTCAATCATTTCCACGACTTCATTTTTGTCCAGCACTGTACTTCTAACACCTTTCTTATCTTTGGTGTTGGCGGAAACACTTTCGGTTTCTGTTGAGACATTTTCATTGGCAATAACATAGGATATGAAGCCGCAAGCCAGCAGACTGGCCAAAAAGAGTTTAAAACGCATTGTTTGTTCACTTAAAAATTAGGTTTTCGTTTTTTGTTTTATTCAAATATTTTCGTTTGTTTTTCGTTTAAAAAAGTGTATTTTTTCGTTTTTTCTGTTCAAACTGGTGTTAACTTTTTTCACTGAAATAGAAGAAAATTCAATTATTTAATTTAATTACTCGCATTATTAGTAGTAATTTCGAATAGATTGTAAATCATGACATCATTTCTATTTTTTTTTTTCACAATATTTTCATAAATTTTCTTTTCCGTAACACATCAATGAACAATAAACCATTTATTCACTCCAACGTCTGTCTTATCAGTTTGGGGTTCCAATACAATTTGTCTTATCAGCGCCTTTAACGGCTTTGGTAAAATATCTTTGTTATCGACACAAAACACCAAGTTATTATTTTTTTCACCGTCAATTTCCACTTTACCGTTTATTCGAAAAACACGTTAACACAGTTCCAACTTTCAATTTAGACTAAAGTCGGGGCGTTGTCGCCTTCTTTGCTAGAAGCCAACGGGTCCACCTGTAATTTCGAAAAAGTTTTCATTTCATATCTTATCTCTGATATGATTGTATGGCAGCAGCGTAATGTGTATTTGTCGTAATTCCAGTACGCATTTTTTCCATCGACTATTCCCAGTATTTTTTTCGGATTTGTTGGTGTTCTCCTTATCACTGCACTTATTTCCGGCCACTTTAATATATTGGGCCGGATTTGAAATCTACTATGTTTCAATTAGCGGGAGTATGAATCATTTATTTTATTGGTAGGAGAGGTGAGTGAATTTCACATTGCTATTTTTCATTCATAAAAATGATAGCGTAATTTGATTTATTTTAAGAAAGGTGGAGTATTTAATCGTATTTACAATAGCTAAAGAGATAACTGGGTATGTTACTGATTCACTGATTCACTTCAAGGCGAAATGACTGAATTTGGAATCTTGTAATTGTTTTCATTGACATTAAAAAGTTTCAGAGCAAATTGTCTCCGAAACAGATGAGTGGCCTCATCAACACCCAGGCGAAACGGGTGTGGGTGAAATGGTAAGGCATTAGAAGCTAATGCTCGGAGGTACACAAACAAGTTAAAAAGCAGTAAGTTCGGCCGGGCCGAACTTTTAATACCCTCCACCATTTGCAACGAATTTGGAAATTTTCAAAAAATAAAATCCTTAAAAAATTCTGTTAAATTTTTAAAAATACCGAATATAGCCGTTATATTGGGGTCTATACGACGTGGACATACATAGGCATTGTTTGTCATAAGCCATTACCATATTCAAATTCGAAACTTGAAATAAACGGTGAATAATGTAGCTAAAATCATCAAAATATCGTCTATAAGGAGGTGCCGTTAAATTGGAGCTGTGCGAAGACCTGGACCAGCATAGACAATTTTCTGTCACAGGCTGTAGCATCCATTACGAACTTCAAATACCACATCCCAAACAATTTCGGTGGGTATTGTACCTAAAATCGTCAAAATACCGAATATAGGGAGGTACTGATATATATGGGGCCTATACGAAGACCTGGACCCGCACAGACAGTTTTCTGTCACAGACTGTAGTTCCCATAACGAACTTCAAATACCACATTTGAAACAATTCCGGTGAATAATGTCGCTAAAATCATCAAAATACCGAATATAGGGAGGTACCGTTATATGGGGGCTATACGAAGACGTGGACCTGCACAGACAATTTTCTGTCTTAGGGTGTAGTATCCATTTGGAACTTCAAATACCAAATTTGAAACAATTCCGGTGAATAATGTCGCTAAAATCATCAAAATACCAAATATAGGGAGGTACCGTTATATGGGGGCTATATGAAAACGTGGACCTACACAGACAATTTTCTGTCTTAGGGTGTAGTATCCATTTTGAACCTCAAATACTAAATTTTAAATTACTTCCGGGAAAAAGGTCGCTAAAATCATCAAAATACCGAATATCGGGAGGTACCGTTATATGGGGGCTATACGAAGACATGGACTTGCACAGACAATTTTCTATCGTAGGGTGTAGTATCCATTTGGAACTTCAAATACCAAATTTGAAACAATTCCGGTGAATAATGTCGTTAAAATCATCAAAATACCGAATATAGCGAGGTACCGTTATATGGGGGCTATATGAAAACGTGGACCTACATAGCCCATTTACGAACTTTACCTGCCTACTGGAAAAATAAACATGTGTGCAAAATTTTAGCCATCTATCTCAATTCATTCGAAAGATAGCGTGATATAAGGTATATATAGATCTACAAGGAATTTTTAGGGATGTGACAAACGGAATGACAAAGTTAATATACACTCCTTTTAAGGTGGAGGGTATAAAAAGTACCAATTAGTACTAATTTTGGTATTGGGGGAAGGTATAGGCTTGGAATTTCCAAATTTAATATTGAGGTCTCTGTTGGTATCCGAATATTACTAATTGTTACAAAATCTGGTATTCAGTGAAGTATCCATAATTTTTACATTTTATTGAATGAAAGCAAAAAATTTCGGAAATATCATCAAATTTTAGAATAAGTTCAGATTTGTTCAAATTGGTCACCTTCGGCACGAATTATGGTCTTCAAACGACCAATGAAACCGTCACACGCTACCCGAAATTTGCTTTCCAAAATACTCCAGACACAATAGTCCAACGAATTGGTATCCGGAGATTTTGGTGGTCATTGTGAAGCGAGGAACCTCATTTTGTAACCATTCTTAGGTGGAGCATGCTGAGTGGTGCTGAGTCCTGTTGGAATGTCCACGGTCTGCGGCCAAAATGTTTGTGTACCCAAGACTTTAATACACCCTCCACATAATATAATATTCGACCATCGGCTGTTATGGCGGCCCACACCATCACCATGGCCGGCGCTTGAGTTCTGGTGGCCAACCGAAGGTGCACATTTTCAGCTGACCTCTTTGGAAGTAAACGCCATCATTTTGTTTGTTTACAAACTGCTGGTCAACGAATGTTTTCTCATCAGAGAAAATCAAATTCGACAGTTCACCACTTTTGGCCAAGCGAAGCAACTCTTTAGCTCTTTCGAGTCTATTTTCTTTCTTTTGCGGTGTAAGTTCTTGCACTTTTTGAAATTTCAATGACTTTTACCCAAGCTCATTTTTCAATATTTGACGAATGGAATATTATATGTTTAGCTCATGAGCAGTTTTTCAGCGACTGCGACGCGGGTTTCGATCAAATCGCTTCTTTACTTTTCGGACCATTTCTGCTGATGTTGCTGTTTTCTTCCGTCCACTTCCTTGACGTCGGTCTACGCTACCAGTATAACGGTAACGAACGATGGTACGAGACACAAAAGATTTATTCACATTTGAATGCTGGAGTGCTGTAACGATAGCCACTTGTGGTTTTCCAGCCAAATATAACGAAATCACACTATCACGCTTGAGTTTCATCACGAATATCTTTTTTTTCTGGAAAATTTTCACCAAAATGCTTTTGTACGCTTGTAAACAAAATAATGAGCTGTCAATGGAATAATTTTACCAGCTGTCGGACGAGTGGCTTAGAAATGACAGCAGTCTGAAGTTGGTTGCAATTTTTTCATCTCACCGTGTATGTATCTGATTTTCTTCAAATTTTGCTCATCCCAATATTTTTATAAGTGTTAAATGAAGTGGTATATTTTTGTCACCTATATTTGGTATCACATGCATATTTCCACATTTTCCAAAAATTGTCACATATCTGAAAGTGGATAATATTGGTCCACTCCTTCGGTACTTCTCTATAAAAGGTTAACATTTTGAATAACCGTAATATAAGTCAAAATATATTTTAATAATCTGGCGTAGCTGATGGTAATCATCTGTCGGCAATATCGACTGATACTTTTAAAACTGTTATACTATATTTTGGAGTGGGTACCATTAGTTAGTTTTGGCCCAGAAGTTGATTACACCTGGCAAAATTCTTCTTAAACATTATATCTAAACAAACTGAGACGACTTTTCTATGAACATGCAAATTTGTGTTCAAACTATGATAGCAATGATGGTCAAATCCTTGCGAAATTGTACATGTGACTTTGGCTAGGACAGAATTGATACCTACTATTCGGAAATTTTAATTCCTACATTTCCTTCATTTAAGATCCGCCATTTTTCTTACCGGATTTAATATAGCTTTTAACTGTAGCACCATTATTTCTCTGAAAAAAAAAACATTTCTCGAAACTCGTATTAAAGGCCAGTGATCTAACGTAACTGTTATGTTGTAACACACCCGAAGATCTAGGGGCATTATCAAAAGCCTTTATAACTGTTTTTATACCCTCCACCATACATAGTATGGAGGGTATATTAAGTTCGTCATTCCGTTTGTAACTCATCGAAATAATCATTTTAGACCCAACAAAGTATATATATTTTTGATCAGCGTAAAATTCTAACACGATTTAGCCATGTCCGTCCGTCTGTCCTTCTGTTGTAATCACGCTACAGTCTAAACGAATTAAGATAGGCTATATCGGTCCACGATATCGTATAGCCCCATATAACGGTACCCCCCGATATTCGGTATTTTGAAGATGTTAGCCACATTTTTCAATGGAATTGTCTAAAAATTCACACAAGTAGTTCCTTGTGAATACTTTACCACCTGAGAGAGAATTATCTATATAGGTCCACGATATCGTATAGCCCCCATATAACGATACCCTCCGATATTCGGTATTTTGATGATTTTAGCCACATTTTTCAACGGAATTGTCTGATAATCCACATAAGTAGTTCCTTGTAGGTACTTTATCCCTTGGAAGAGAATTATCTATATAGGTCCACGATATCGTATAGCCCCCATACAACGGTACCCCCGATATTCGGAATTTTGATGATTTTACCCACATTTTTCAACGGAGTTCTCTGAAAATTCACACAAGGAATACCTTGTGGGTAATTTATACCTCGGAAGAGAACGGTACGCCCCGATATTCCGTATTTTGATGATTTTAGCCACATTTTTCAACTGAATTATCTGATAATCCACACAAGGAGTTCCTTGTAGGTACTTTATCCCTTGGAAGGGAATTACTTATATAGGTCCACGATATCGTATAACCCCCATATAACGATACCCTCCGATATTCGGTATTTTGATGATTTTAGCCACATTTTTCAACGGAATTGTCTAAAAATCCACACAAGGAGTACCTTGTGGGTAATTTATACCTCGGAAGAGAATTATCTATATAGGTCCACGATATCGTATAGCCCCCATACAACGGTACCGCCGATATTCGATGTTTTGATGATTTTAGCCATATTTTCCTATGGTATTGTCTGAAAATCCACACAAGGAGTTCTTTGTGATCACTTTAACCCCTGAAAAGTAATTGTCTATATAGGTCCACAATATCGTATATCCCCCTTAAAGCACCTTCTGCTATTAGATATTTTAAAGATTTTAAAAGAATTATTAATGGGTTTTATTTTTTGAAAATTTTCTAATTCGTTCCAAATGGTGGAGGGTATTCAAAGTTCGGCCCGGCCAAACTTACTGCTTTTTTACTTGTTTTTTTTTTTTTTTTTTTTTTTTTTTTTTGTAATATATTATATTAAGAAAATATTTTTTCTATTCTGAAAATATTGGAAATTTGGTGGAAAAAACCCAGATCCAGCAAAAATCAGGCAACTCTGTGCCGGAATAACATTATACTGATAAGAGCAACACACACAACTGGCAAGAGTAACGTTGTTCTCTTAACAATTAATCTAAACTCGTAGGCTCTATTCGATATTTTTGGAACGCATTTCTCTTGAAATTGTCAAGTGTTTGTCGGTTAGGCTCCTTATCAGCAACAAGCAACAAAGCAAAATCAACCAGCACTACGTGTGGGGGTCAATCTCGCCATGCGACGACTTCTTCAGTCCAGTATTCGTTTGACGTTTGTTCAGTTCGGTTTGCGAGACGATAGTGAAAGTGTTATAACACACTCTCAGTGGGGGTCGTTGTGGTGTGGTGTGACAACAGATCGTCTGAATTGAAAATAAAAAAGATCTGCAACAACAACAAAAAGAGCGAACATATTAATCAAGTTTAATAAATTGGCAACTTGTGTGAAGAGAAAAAAAAAAAGAAAATAAAACAAACAAATTGAAATCTGAATTCAAAATGCTACGTCACTTGCAAAACAAACCATCCGCCGGTCGTGCCTCAACTTTGTTGTTACAACAGTGGCAACAAAGCTGTTGCTACCACAGTGAAAAGGGTGTCTTCGGTTACAAACCCCGAAAACCAAGAGAATTTAAAGGTAATATTCCGTGTAGAACATAATTCCAATATTGCCTCTTATTTAAATATGATTTATTCAGGTGTCAACTAATCTAAGTGTCAAAAATAATCACAAAACTCTATAAACATCTCGGCGGAGAGATAACATCTTTTTAACACCACCAATTGTAGCTAGTACACCAACAACAACTAATCGTAGATAAGCTGTTGTTATATTTTGTATTTTTTTTTTTGTTATTTTTCTCCCTAATCATGAGTTTGTACGCAAATAAACATTAACATTTATGTCGAGAAGACACGGGAGGTGGGGGCTAAAAACGAGCGATCGGTGTACGCAAACAAATAAACAACAATATAAAATATTAAAACTCTCTTTGCGTCCTCTCATGATATGGTATTTTAAAGATAATCAAGTTGATCGGATTGTTGCTCGCGCTCTGTTAAGCTATTTGTTGTTCTCTGAATGTTTGCTGTTGTTTTTTTGTCCCGGCTTCAGCCAATTCTTGCCGGCTATAAATTACTGAGATAGCAACTCAATGATTAGAATGGATGTGGGATACGTTTGGAGAGGCGGTTGAGAGTAAAATTAAATAATAATCCAGTAAGGAAAAGCCAAAAGTCGGGCGGGGCCGACTATATGATACCCTACACCATTATGCGCATTATGTAGAGCTCCCGTAACAAAAAAGTTAATATTGCGAATTTATGTGAAGTAGATCATACCAACTATGGACCAAATAGCATTGCTATAGCACATGATATGACTTCGATAAGGAATATATTAAATAATATTTATTGCGTCAATAGGTATACCGGACCGAGTTTCACCAAATGGTAAAATTCGGTTGAATATGAAAAAATCTATTCAATTAAGACTGATATTGCACATATGGTGAGCGATAACCGTGAAATTGGATGATGTTATATAAGGGAGCTATATCCAAATCTGAACCGATCTTGATCAAATTTGGCAGAGGTATTTCTGGGCCGTATCTGATATATTGAACCGAATATCATTATTGTAGAGTGCATATTACTCATGTGAGGGACAACGACGAATCAGATGAAACATATATATAAGAGCCATAGCTTTATCTGAATCGATGTTGAACAAAATTTGGAGCACTTGATTTTGGGATAAATTAAGTCGGAATTGCCAAAATTCAGTCCATTTGAGGTGATATTAGCCATTTGGTGCACAATTAATGAATGAAGATGGAAGCTGTATCGAAATCTGAACCGATCTTGACATAGTTTTAAGCATTTATTCCTGAGCTGTATCTGATATCTGGTACAAAACACTATTATTGTGGAGGGCATATTACTCATGTGAGAGACTTAAAACCCCAAATTGAATGAAACAGATATGTGGGAGCTATGGCTATATCTAAACCGATCTTCACCAAATTGGAAGTATTTGTTTTTAGGATAAATTAAGTCGGAATTGCCAAAATTCAGTACATTTGGACTGATATTAGCCATTTGGTGCACAATTAATCCGAAATCGGTTGAAGATATATATGGGAGCTATATCGAAATCAGGACTGATCTTGACATAGTTTTAAACATTTATTTCTGAGCCGTATCTGATATTTGGTACCAAAGATTATTGTTGTGGAATGCATATTAAACATGTAAGGGACTTAAAACTCCAAATCGGATAATACATATATATGGAAGCTATAACTATATCTGAACTGATTTTCTCCAAATTTGATATACTTGCTTCTAGACTGAATTCAGTCGAATATGGTCATTTGGACTGATACTGTCCATTTGGTGCACAATTAACCCGAAATTGGTTGAAGTTATACATGGGAGCTATATCTATCTGAACCAATTCACACCAATTTCAATAGAGCTCGTTCTTGGGCTAAACATATATTGTTCGAAAATTTTCATCTCAATCGGACAATAAATACGAACTGAATTTTGTTCACAAAAATACATGGACAGACGGAGTGACACGCAAAAATCTACTCAGAAAGTGATTCCATGAAGATCCTCAAAAGTAATCATGGGTATGTCTCGCTCGTTTGCTTCTTCATGATACAAACAAATGTACATTGACATAATACCCTTGCCACTAGTGGTATAGGGTATAAACACATAGCAGTACCTTCCAATTGTTAAAGGTTTTAGGCACAAGTTCGAATGGATTGTTTTGCATTTTTGGGGAGGAATTAAAATAAAAAAAAAAAACAAGTTAAAATGCCTATGTCCGCTTATTAAGATATAGTTTGACTTGCGTTATGATTATTCAAAATGTGGACCCTTTATGGGGCTGATACTGAAGCAGTGGGCCAATATTGCCCACTTCGCATCGGAAATAAATCCAGGTTTGGTCTATATTGACTACATAAAATATATGCATACCGGCGAAATGGGAGTGGGATGTACTAGAAGGAGTTATCATTTATATTCCACTTTTACACCAGATTTTGTGTTGATAGAAATTTTGAGATTTACGAAATTTGAAGACAATCAGACTCTTATCCCATATTCTGTAAGAATCATGATTATTCATAAATTTAACCCTTTTTGGGGAAGATACTAGAAGAAGGGGCCGATACTGTGCATTTTCTCACCTGACTCAGCACTTATACAATATTGGGATTTGCAAAGTTTAAAGTAAAGTATTTTATGAGTACGAGAAGGAGGGGACCGATATCGTTTATCTCCGAATCCGATCTAATATTTGGTAAATATATTACTATGTGCCGGTAATCAAATCGTATACTCCCTCCGAGATATACCGTGCGTATCAGACAGACGGACGGATGGACACCTCTAAATCGACTTCAAATGACCTGAAACGGATTTAGTCAGAAGAGACCTAGTGTGTAAATAGTTTTTTTTTTCGATGAAGCAGGTTTAGACCGTATCAAATAATACATACCCTCTATAGACTTATGGCTGTTGTCACCCAATTTGCCCATAACACAAAAAATTATTACAGGAAAAAATTCAGTTGGTTGTGAAAGTAGAAAACAGAAGACGCATGTATCGACATTTTGAAAGTGTACATCGTAAAAAAACCTGAATAGAGTAGAAAATTTCCTGAGTGAATTAAGGACATTTTACTGAATAAATGTTAGTGGGAAAGTAAACGGACAAACCTAATGTGTGCCATAAACATATCATCAATATGGTTTATATAAATCCCCCTAATTTCATATTTTCCAATTGATTTGGCTTTTACTTGGTTTCTCAAGGCCTGAAGCCTGTTCCCAGTAACAATTATCTAGTTTATTCAGAGAAGTAAAGTGAAATTTGGTATAGAATATTTCCTCTACATAGAATACAGTGCGATGTAAACCTTTAAAACATCGATACACACTGATGTCAAATTAACATATATATATTTTTTATGAAAATCAAAGGAATTGAAATCATATTACTAAAGAGGTTAGATTTGGATCTTGTCCAGCTCATCCATTGATTCAAAATCTTTATTAATAGGGACATACTAAAAGACAACTCTGATACATTCTTCTCGTGTTTTTTGTCCATAAATTCAGAAATACTTAAATTGTTCTTCTTTTACACATTAAGCACAGATTGAAACATTCGAAATGTCCGACACTATTTGAGCTTGTGAGCGGATATCAACATTTACATAACTCACAAAACAATAAAAAATATTAATTAATGAAACCCGCCAAAAAAAACTAATTTCGTGACATTTACCTTTATTAATTATTAAATGTCTCAGGTTTTTTTGCAAACTTTCCAATCAGTCACCGTTACATTGGTGAATTTGACTAAGGTCTTACCATCCGTTCCCCAGGTTTGGGAAGCGATTTAATCGTTGACCACAACTTAATTAAATCATCTTCATATTTTAAGGTGTTTTCAAGGTCTTGTTAGTATTCTCTTCATAGGTCAACTTTTCGTACTTTTCGCAACAATACCTCCCAGTATTCTACATTTTAGTGCATCTAACAAAATTGTTTTTATTGGAAATGTTTGTAAAGGCAAACCAGTAACAACAGCATTAAGCTCAGCCGGCCCGAACTCTTGACATAAGATCAAATAGTTTATCCACGAAATGTAGAAGATTTGACAATTACCTCTTGTGCTATACCTATATTGAAAATTTTCTCTCAGTTGACCTACCCACAAACGGCTTAACTCTAGTTTAGTAAAAACTCTTCAATTTTTTGAAATTTTGTCTCGTGATAGGTATTTTCACGCTGATTCCGGGAAACTATTTTATTTTTCTTGGGGGACGGACTCGGGACCCGAAAGTCCGGGTCCAAGACCCAGATCCACTTACCCTATATAGACAATATATCGTTATTTGAAGCGGTTCGGAAGTTATAGTCAAATTATCGATTTTTTGGACACGGATTTTTTATAAATCCCCCGAAAAGTCGAAAAAGGGCCCATTATGGGGGTCAACAAAATTGATGTCAAAATATAGCTGACACTCTTACCTTTCCAAAATGGTACAATTCGTGTTAATACTTTTTCTGGGTCCAGAGATATGGGTCTATCCATCCGTATATCCCGATTCTAACCAGTTCATTAAATTATGATTTAAATAAAAAAAATCCGTAGCCTACGTTGGATTTACAAAAGTGTCAAATTTAGAAAACTTTGGTTCGCGTTAGCCGGTGTGGGACATACCCAGAGAAGAAAATCACAAGCCCATGCCGAAGGCCGGCAACTTACAAAAAGTGTAAAATTTAGAAAACTTTGGTTCACGTTAGAAAATCTCAAGCCCCTGCCGAAGGCCGGCAACTTACAAAAAGTGTCAAACTTAGAAAACTTTGGTTCGCGTTAGCCGATGTGGGACATACCCAGAGTAGAAAATCTCAAGCCCCGGACGAAGGATGGCTACTTACAACAACTATTAAATTTAGAAAATCTAGCATCTGGCATAGGCGGAAAAAATGTGCATATTTTCGAAAAAAAATTAAAAAATCCAACATTCTATTCAAATAGAATATAACAATAATATGATTTTACAAAATTCTATTAATTATAAGATATCACATCTCTATTTCGATCTCC